TGTATTATACAACAGCTAAGTGTATTGGAAGCTGCTGTTAGTAGTGCATGCCTGGGAATGAATGTTTTGAACTCTTTTACGGCTGAGAACTAACTGGTAATGTAATTAGAAAACTAGGTTAAACCAGTCTTCCATCATGAGTTAGCTGACTCCCTGTTTGTTTTAGAACTCTGATCTTCTAAAAACTTTTGTTACTACATCATTTTATGAAACATTTATGAAATGTGTAGAAAATCACTATGTTGGTTGTAAACCAATTGATAATTTTCTTTCTCATAGTTCCAAGACTTTTTTCCTCACACAAAAAAAGACCATTTAATCTTTTACTTCAAAATCACAGACCTATTTGACCACCATCCCCCATGCACACCCATCCCCGGTAGGATAGTATCTGGCAACTTTGAAGTACATGGTTCAAATGAAATTATTCTAATAACAGGTCGTGCAAGTTCCATGTGGGTATGTCTCATCTAACTTGATTATTCTCCTTAGAATCAAAATTATAGCCTACAAATTGAAAATTATATATAGTTCTTGCAAGGCAAGACCATAATTTTAGGTTTGTGCCATTTTTTTTCAATCCCAATAAATCACCCTCAGAACAGGCCTGACACCGGACAGTCCTTTAGCGTTCAGGGGGGCCCTAAGTCAGGTGTTGACAAAGTACTGCTATTTAGGTTCTCGGCAGACAGACTTCGAGACTCCTCCGAGAATGTGCTCACATTCTTCTTCTTTTCCCCTGGAAAATATGCTCTAGGTCATCCTTGCCTCTGGATCCAATATCTCACCTCTACAGATCCATCAGAATTAGGCTGATCTCCTGCATATATCAGTGAGGGTCAGGGTAAATCCATGTAGGAAGATGGTAGGTGTAAGCCCCCATTATAGTTAAGTTTACTGAATCCACCTTATGTCTAAGATAGCCTACCATATCCTATTTAAATTTCCTTCTAGAGCAGAGGTTTACAAATTGTAAATCACAACATAATGGTGAGTCTCCTTGCCAGCTTTTTTAAGTGGGATGGGATGGGATGGGATGGGATAGGAAAGGAAATATCAAAGGGAGAGGGAGGGGAATAGAAGACATCGAGATATCCAGTTAAAATAGGTTTGTGAGGCAGTTTTCAGTGGCGATGGGAATGTGAAAGAGTTCAGAGTCTGTACAGAAAGCAACCCTCCTTCAAGTGTGATATTCAGATCACATCAGACAAACAAAAGGGTTCTATAACCAAACAAGTTTGGGAGACTCAGGTAGAAAGGAAAATTCAATGTGTTTCTTTATTACATGGCATTCTGGCACTTCAGGTGTGCGAGAGGGGGCTCTCTGTAGCCAGGCACTGTTTTCCTAACTTGACCAAAATTATGAGGGTGATAACGATGAGGACAGAGCAGGTTAAGGCGTGGTAAGCACGTGCTTTATTCTAAGCTCTGTGCTGACTGTTTTATGTGTGTGGTCTTCCCCTGCTCCCACCCCGTTTGGTGCAGCCTGTGATGGGTAATCAGCCGTGGGGTAAGTCTGTGTGGATGGTGGCACCAGGACTCGGAAGGACGAGAAAGCTTGAGAGGAAAGAAGATGCTCAATTAGCTTTGGAATAACTTAGATTGAGATGCTTTGGAGAGAGCATCAGGCCAAGAGATCAGGGCCTCAGGAAAGATGGAGATGAATATTTGGAAATCATCGGCTCTAAAGTGTTCATTGAAAGAAGGTGACTCTTTGTATGCCTATACCTAAAGCCAATATAACATTGAATGTCAACTATAATTGAAATATTAAAAAATAAAATAAATTTTTTAAGTTTTTTGAAGGAAGTTGAAGGAAGATAATCTCTAGAGATTATGAATCTAGTAAAGATGGCTAAATTAAATGAGGAACCTGGCACATAATGGAGAGTTGAGGTGTACAGAGTCTGGCCTGCTGTAGCAAACATTCGCAACTGTATCTCCAGAGAGGAGCCCCAGGACTTACTTAGAGTGGGTTCCGTTACCCAAATGTTGTTTTCTTCTTAATTTTTTATCCTCACCTGAGGACATGCTTATTGATATCAGAGAGAGGGTGGAAGGGAGGGAGAGAGAGAGGGAGAGAAACATTAATATGAGAGAGAGACATCCATCAGTTGCTTCTTGCACTTGCCGACTGGGGGCCAAACCCACATCCTAGGCATGTGCCCCGACCAGGAATCGAACCTGTGACTCTGCAATTTATGGGAAGATGCTCCAACCAACTGAGCCACACCAGCCAGGTCCCAAATGCAACCTCCTGGGAATGTGTTTGAAGTAATAAAGCAAAAAGAAAATTCTAAAATTGGAACCAAATATAAGACCAGCGATCCAAATTTAGGAATGAGGCAAATGGGCACATGAGTTATGTATGGAGTGTTTCTTTGAACAGTTTGCAGATCTAATCCTTAAGTGTGTTGTTTGTTCCACACACGGCATGCTATGCTGATTGGGCAGTTCCATGAAATATGTGCCCTGTTGTCTTTTCTTTTTTTAAAGATTTTATTTATTTACTTCGAGAGAGGGGGAGAGAGGCAAAAAGAGAGAGAGAGAAACATCAATATGCAAGAGATACATCCATCAGTTGCCTCTCACATGCCCCTACCTGGGGACCTCGCCCACAGCCCTGACTGGGAATCGAACCATCAACCTTTCAGTTCTCTGGCCGGCACTCAGTCCACTGAGCCACACCCACTGGGGCAGTGTCCTGTTGTCTTCTCTATTAATTTAGGTTTATTTGCTGTGAACACCGGTGGGTAGAACTACACATTGTGGAATTAGTGTTAAAAATGCTGGAGAGCACAATATTTTCTCTCAAAGAGATGGATCAGATCAATTAAGTATCTTAATTTAGAGCCATATTTTAAAAATAAAACCTTTCAATACCTTTTTTAATTACTTTTTCCCTCTAGTTTGAAACAATGCATGCCTGTTGTAAATAGACCCATAAATATCTTAAACCCACACTATTTCACAGATGTGTTCCTTTTCCATTGATGAGTTTGTTTTAGTAGCACATCCAAATTGTTCGAATCAGAAGGTCAGTGAGGTAAAATGAAAACAAGTACTTTAGAAGATTGTAAACACAGAGTAAATGTCAGCCTCATGTAAATGAGGCGTGATTTCCATAATAAAGCCTTTATTGTTGTCACTGGTGCAGAGCAATAACTGCTAAGGCTGCAATTACAAAGAAAAGAGATAATACAGCACCATACTTTCTTTAAAACTGGCAATTAAATTCATTGAAATGATATTTTCTGCTAAAAAATAAGGAGATTTTATGTCTTCTCAGTGGTGTTTCCGAACTCCCCTGAGCAGACTCTCAGTGACAGTCGTACTAAATGACACATCCACTTGCTGCTGTCTTTTCTTTTCACAAGTGATTCCTCTCACTGAAACCTTTTCAGACTACTTTGTTTTTCACACCAATGACTTCTTGCTAAATGAAGTACTTTGAGGACTTGATTTCTTTTCCCCGGTAGGAGCACCTACTGTTGACACAAGTCTGCCTTCTTTGGCATAGTCTTCTGTTTCTTAATTGTGGTACAATACACATAACATTTACCATTTTCACCATTTTAAATGCACAATCCAGTGGCATGTACATTCACAGTGCTGTGCAACCATCACTCCTATGCATTTTCAGAACGTTTTTGTCCTCCCAAGCATAAACTCTCTACCCATTAAACAGTAACTCCCTCACCCCAGCACAGCCCCTGCTGACCTCGGTTGTACTTGGTTGTCTCTGTGAACTTGCCTACTCTAGGCACCTCATGTAAGGGGAATCATACAATATTTGTTCTTTTGTGCCACTGTCTGGTCATCTTCAAAAGTGTCAAGAGTCACAAAAGCCAAGGACACCCAAGGGAACTTACTGGGACTAAAGGAGGCTGCAGAAACAAGACAGCTGGGTCCTTCTGCGCAAAGGAAACTGCTGGAATAACTGGCAGACATTGAATGGGACTTGAGGGTGGTAGTGATGCATCGGTGTAATTTCTCGATTTGATGGCTGTATTCTGTTTGTGTAGGAGAATGTCTTTGTAGAAAATGCTCATTAAAGTGTGCAGAGGGTGATGATGGGGGACTAGGTTGGCAAATTTCAACACGAAAGTTGTATTTAGTTGTTCTAACCTCTCCAGCATATGTGGACTTTAGGTGTTAATTGGTGATGGTGGGTAGATATGTCTATGGACTTCAGGGTCTGTCCTGAGAGTTGTCAGTGGTGTGCTCCAGACTGATGTTTTTTAACAACTTGAAAATGTATTTATTTGCAGCTGCTAAGATCTGATTCACTTTCAAATCTTTATATAGCTTGTCATTTAAATATTGAAATCCTTTCTTTAAGGTTGTTATTCTAAAACTCAAATATCAAAAACAGGTGGGAAGGGTGATGAAATCCTTTGGCCTTGAAGAAACCTGTTCTGAAAAGTATTGAAACAAATTGTGCAGGAAAATTTTGGATAGAATAAGCTCAGTGTTGACAGTAGTAAATCCTGTGACTGTCTTTGCTCTTGACAGTAGCTATAAAGTTTGGTATCTTCTTGGAATAAAAGAGATGAGTATATATTTTTCCACCAAACACACAAGTTTTTATGTCATTTCTGTTTCAAAATATAGAGTTGGACTACACTAATTTTGAAAGTATGCTGATACCTGCCTGCCATTTTCTAGTGAAGCTATCTTAAAATTTACCTGGGATTTAAAACTGCTTTTATTCCCACAGTTGTTCGTGTAACTCCCATAACAGTCCAGCAGGTGGTAGTCTTGGAGAGGAATCTTCCCTGTCCCGGGCCCACGAGCAAAACAGGAAGAATGTAGAATCAGCAATGTGCCTTCTCTTCTCTGGCATTAGAATGAGATTTCCAAGGTTGTTCTTTCAAAATATGTGCTTAGGCATAGAGAGTATCACAAGAAAAAAGTCAAAAATAATTCTGCCTATATGTGTGACAATGCCGTATTGCCAAGCTGAAAATTTCTTTCTTTTTTTTTTTTATGGTTTCTAGAAATTCCCCTGGTTTTGTATCTCTTTGCCCTGATTTCTGTGACATGGCTTTGGGGAGGCCTGCACATGGCTTACAGACACTTCTGGATGTCAGTCCTCTTTGTCATTTTCAACAGTCTGCAGGTAAGCTTTCCGGCTGAGTACTCATGGCACACGTGAATGCTAATGGACACATGGCGTGGCATTTCAGTGCAAAGGGATCAAGTGTCCACGCACAGGTGAATTTGTGCACAAAATCACCTCATAGAGAGTTGTAGAATAAAATAAATGATGAGGGTTAAATCTTGAACGCCTGAAACAGGGCTGGGCTTCTGACTTGCTGGTTCTACAGATAAGGAGGACATATTTACCACCCTTTATTTTGAGAACATCTAGCTAACTGTCAAAACATGTTTTTGTTCGGCAGAATTGATGTTTATGAACTTTGCAGTGGCAGCCGTGGAGGACCTTATAATGGGACAATGGCTGTGTCTAGAAATTGGATCAGCTGAGGGATGAAATAGGTAGCAATGTTCAGGAAATGCTTAGTGAAATGAGAGTGCCTTGGTTCACTAAAAATAATTGACATCCTCTAAGCTGGAAATGCCCACTTAAATTAGTTTTGTGAGCATGCTTAGATAGCATAACTAGAAATTAAAGAACTGTAGCAAAAATTAAAGCTGACTTACTTAGTGCTTTTGTTAAATGGGGAAAAGTTGCAGCCTGAAATTGACAAATGAACAGACTTTCCCAAGTGAAAACTTCTGTTCTAGACCAAAATGATTTCTTGAATTCACCAGAGATATCTCCAAACTGTCATTATTTTGACCACCATCTTACAAGGAACTGGTGTAGAACAACATTAGGATTATGTTGTACAACTGAAATCTGACTCAAAGCATATTTAGTTTACAAAAGAGACAAATTCTTTAGTGATGGCCTATTTTAAAGCAAGGTGCCTAATCAAAACATAATATTGATTTAGGAAAGGAAAAAATACAAAGTGACTTTAAAGTTTGGAATCGGGTTGGCATGCAGATAGATACCTCTCTATGGACACAGCTGTAATTAAGCCTCTGCTGTCCGCACGGTGAGCTGGTGGTGCCAAGGCAGGATGAGGGTGACAGCCCTGCTCCTCTAGGATCTGGTGGTTCAAAGGCATAAACACTTAGCGACGAGGGTAAACTATGGCAGGTGCCATGTAAACAGAGCGTTATGAGAGCTGAGTGAAGGGCGGGTTTACTCCTGCCTGTACTAGCATTCGTGCTGATACCCAAAAGTGAGCCGCTCAAGTCGGTGGCCCTGACTAGTCCCCAGGAAGCCCTAAGGCCTAGTGCAACTAACGTCAAGGTCCCCATGAGCAACCTGAAGTCGTATTTTATTTGTTAGACACACAGTAGTACACAGACCAGGTTTTATGTTTTTTTTAATATTTGCTGCAGACTCTGAATATTGAGAAAGGCTGAATTCCTGCTACAATACTTGCTTAGCAGCAGTTTTCAAGTCCTGAGTAGATAATGCCCCTTCTGTTTTTTATTTATTTTTTAAACATTTTATTTATTTATTTTTAGAGAGAGGGGAAGGGAAAGAGAAAGGAAGAGAAACATCACTGTGTAGTTGCCTCTCATGCACCTGCTACTAGGGACCTGGCCCACAACCCAGGCATGTGCACTGCCTGAGAACTGAACCAGTGACCCTTTGGTTTGCAGGCCAGCACTCAGTCTACTGAGGCACACCAGCCAGGACAATGCTGCCCCTTTTAGATGGAACACGCAACCTCATTATACCTGGTAGACTCAATTCCTTTGTTTTGCCTGCCCATGAGTTTGTGACACTTTTAATGTTTATTAAATAAGTGATGAATATATGGTCAGAGATGGGTACTTCAGGCAGAGAAAACAATGTTAGCCTAGGCTACAAAAAGAGAAGATGATACATTTTGCCTAGATTAAGCAAAGGGGTGTGGGGAGCAAGAAAGGTTTTGCAATTGGAAAGCAGTGATGGGAGAGGAAATAGGTGGGTCGGCTTCACTGCTCCATTACTGATAGATCAGGACCGGATGTTAAACTTCAGCTTTGGGAAACCATCCACGTAGGGGGTTGTGTTTGTTTTGCTCTGATTCGTCTTTTAAATTTTGTTAGTTAGTTTTTAAATCGTTAAAATGCTGAATGAGAATGTTATGCTCATACCTACTTTTCAGGGTAATCTAAGCAGAAGGTAAATAGAAGTGATGGCGGGTTGGAAGATGGTCAGGAATGGACTGCCCAGAGTCACAGTGGGGTTCGGTGCAGGTAGAAGCCTAAGGGTTGTCATTGAGCCTGTCAACAGGAATTTAGTAAATTTAAACCTGAAGGTTAAAATGGTAGCCAGCATGACCTATCAAACCACATACACAGGAAAAAGTCAACCTCTTACAGAGGTTTAGTAATAAAGGAGGACTCCTGAGCATGATACTGTATATTGCAGGGAGATACAAAAGAAGTCATTACAGTTTCTCTTTTAGGAACTTGATACAAGCTAAGTAGAAGGAAAAACTAAAGCTATTTCAAATTCATGTTTAATGAGCTTAATTCCATCTGTGTGGCTCTACTGGAGTGTTGACAGTTTGTGTTGCTCTTGCCCGAGTTCTGCCACACTGCTTCATTCCTGGTACCCGCGCTCAGTCGTCCTGAACACCTAGACATACGATTTCTCCAGGGTTGCGTGGGGTTCGTTTAATGTTGAAACTGCCTCTGTCTTCAGCTCGCACATTGCTATGCACTATGGCTGTATAGTAGTTAAGATCTTCAAAGTAGGCTCCCTGAAGACTTAATGCCTGTGTGTGTTTTACTGGCCTTAGTATTTCTTTTACTGCCTTTATCAACACCTGGGACCACAGAAGTGTGTTATGTACATATGCCTGGCTACTGTATGTTGCTCAGAGGAGATTACTGCCTCATTTTTTACATCTAGATCATTATTGTGCTGTAGGTGCTCTGAGACTGATGAATGAAAGGTATGTTTCTATAACATTCTGAATTTAATAGTTATTATTTGATGCACTTTTGAAAAGGGCATCTTGGTTACTTGAAATATTTTCAGGAATTTCATGATCACTTTCTGAAGATTCAAGGTTGAGCCATCAAACTTCTAATACATCTGGGCATTTAAGAAATCGCGTGACATACTTTTTAAAGCGTGATGGATATGAGTGCAAAAGCAAAATTGAAAAATGGTTCTAAATATGTCTATTGCTATTTTTATCACTTAATAATCTTCTTGAGCATAATGGCCACCAACAGTGTAAGACTTACGTCCTACTAGCTTACCTGCCCCAGGAGGAAAAGAACTTATTCCCCAGTAGAAAATTCTATGAGGCACTTAAATTACCTTCCCCTGAATCACAGGCTATCCAGAAACCTGTCACATGGTGACAGGTACTCTAGCCAAGCCTTGATGGTGAACAGAAACCAGTGGTAGAAGGAGTTGAGTTTATTTCATGAAACCCACATGGAACAGAATTTCCACCAGAGGAAAGGATTCTTCTACCAATAAGGCAACCAGGGGGGGAGGGAGAGAGTGGCAGCAGTGCCAGCCAGGCCAAAGTAACAGATGTCCACTGCACAAACTGTCTCCATTTTCTCGTTCATTGGTATAAGTTTGGACAAAGACAGCTATTCCTGAACCACTAGGAAGTATCATCGGTGTGATATGAATATCACAGTGTGTGTTGTGAATATCATCAGTGTGTGTTGTGAATATCCTTGGGATCCACTGTTTAACCAAATATCTTTATATGGCCCACAAAAAATTCATAAGCACTCCAGTATGTTTAATATTTTTCTTAATTTCCTGAACCATTAATCCAGTAACCATTGTTTTTTAAAAAATGCATTGAGTTTTTCATTTCTACGTAGATTTATGCTAATACTTATAAATCAAAACTTTTAAAAACCTTCTTAGTCCAAGGTATGTCAAAATTTGTGAAACAGTTAATGGGAGCGATCTCCTGACACCCAGCTGGTAGGCACTGGTAGAACACTATCAGTTATTAAAATATTGAAATAGCTATTGTTTAAACCTTGCATGTGTCCCAGCCTTCTAGCCACTCAAGCTAGAAGCATCCGCAGACTTCCAGCAGCTAAAAGCCTAGTGCCGGGCCAGTCAGGGAGGCTTCAGGACCCTCCTGCAGGCATTCTGGTTGGTCAGTGCCTGTGCCACACCCACTAAACATTTTGCATAGCACTCCTAGCTTCATTATGTTATAAAGTATCTTTGCACTTTAAACCCAAACCAGTCCGATTCAGACATATACAATGTTTATTTCAGGTTTTCTTCTAGGGCTCTCTCCCATTTACTCTGGGAAGATTTTACTGAATGATAATGGTGACTTACTCGTAGGGAATCCCACGTAAGATAACTAGTGTAGCCGGCAGTTTTGGGCGTGAGCTTCTTGGAAATAATGGGAAATAAGTTTTTTGGAGACCGCTTCATACACACAGAAGAACCTTTCTAAAAGCTGAAATGCATTCTTCTTGGAATGCAAAAGCTGGCAAGAGGCCCAAACTTAACATAGCACTGGGATACGGCACTTCTCAGTATGTGCGTTGGGAGATCCCATTCCGCAGAGGCCTGTTTGACTATCTCTCTGTAAATGGCTTATATACTTTCCTTTTTACAATCATCTGGTCTTGAGATGTGTCCTGGCAGTTTTTGAATCATTCACTAATCTGGAGAAGGGAGTTACAACATGGAATCTGTAGCTAAAAATGTATACCCTATATTCAAGTTTCAGTCTGATTGGCTAAAATAATTTGTGTTCCTAACTTCATGTATTAAATGGCTGGAAATAAATGACCCAAAGGTGGGAACAGTTTCTTCTGCTTTTCAGTTGTTCTTTGGTGGCCACTAGAGTGCCTTGAACATAGAAAACCTTTTTCTTACATAGAAAAACAGTGTTTTAGAGACTTCCAGCCAAGATGGAGGCATAAGTAGACAAATTGTGCCTCCTCACACAACCAAAAGAATGACAACAACAATTTAAAAACAAAAAACAACCAGAAGTGACAGAAAAATCGAACTGTATGGAAGTCCGACAACCAAGGAGTTAAAGAGGGAACATCCATCAAGACCAGGAGGAGGGGCGAAGATGAGCAGCTGGGCAG